AGAGAGAGAGAGAGAGAGAGAGAGAGAGAGAGAGAGAGAGAGAGATTCCAAGGAGCGGGCTGGTGAGTTTGAACCTTTGAACCGCTGACCTTACGGTTCAAACAGACCTTGTATTCCAGCACATTAACTCACAGCACCACACCAGAACTCCTTAAGAAATTTATGTTTTCTTAAATTTCTGATTCCATATTTTCCCCACTTAAAAATCTATAAGCTAACACTATAAATTGAAACCTACAATTATGAACATATATTCAACTTTTCATAAACTATTTATTCGTATATAAATAATGGGTTTACGTGTATATATAATCAGGCAGGAATCCTGGTATGGCACTGTGGGTTAATGCACCGAACTACAAAGCCATTTGAACTGCAGGGCCGGCAGTTCAAGCTCACCAGTCATTCCTCGGAAACCCTATACAGGGTCGCTATGGGTCAGAACCAACTTGACAACACTTAACAACAACAACAACAAAATCATTCAGGATAATGTGCTGGACCTCAAGATCAGCGGTTCCAACTCACCAGTTGCTCCTCAACAGTGTCACTAGGAGTCGAAACCAACTCATTGGCACTTAACAACAATATTATGTTTCACATTACATTACATTAACTACTGTTTCTACTGTTGCTGTTGTTGTTGTTAAATGCCTTTGAGTCAGTCTCGACTCATAATGACCCTGGCACAGAGTGGGTTTACAAGGAGCGGCTGATGAGTTTGAAATGCCAACCTTGAGATTCAAACCAGCCTTGCAGTCCAATGCCTATCCTAAATCACCACACCAGGACTCCACTGCTTCTACTCGGATCACTGATAATTACATCACAGCGCACAAGTTAAGATAAATGCCTAAAGTAATGTTCTTAATATTCTCATCTGTATGATTCACAAACTAAAAAACTTAAAATTCACAAATACGGGGGTGGGGGGTGGGGGGAATCTGTAAATGCATAAATAAAACACATTTCTATTTAAAATAGACATTCTGTTTTAAACAAATAATTTTAAAAGTTAAAAAATGTTTTATCAAATCAGTTACAATTAATTTACTCATGAAAACTTACTGGAGTCTGAGTTTCTGTTTTATATCTATAAAAAAGAAGATAATTAGGCTGCTTCTGGAGACCTGGGATGGAACAGTAGGATAAGCACTGGATTGTTAACCTCAATTCTGGCTGGTCAAACCCACCAATTGCTCCTTGAAAACGCTACACAGGGTTGCTATGAGTTGGAAGCAACTTCACTGCACTTAACAACAACAAAGGCCTTTTTCTGCCTATTCATAAAACAGTGAAAAATCAAATGTGATCATGTATACAGAAGTACTCTTCGATGAAAAGCTATACATCAAAGGAAGCATTAAATTAAGACAAACTAATTTTGTTAAAAATTTTTTTTTTAGTTTTCCATTTAAAAACTACCACCCATACATGCTTAACAAAAACAGATGAGAATTGCCCATGTCAATTTAAATGTACAAAGCATTATACAGTATTTTTAAGTAACTGTAATTTACAAAAAGCTATGTCAGCGCAATTGTTCACCTTCAGGAGGAATTTCACTTTAAGAATCAAAGACATGAAAGTTACACCTCCATGAGAGCGCATATCACAACAGTGATCAGATACATTGGACTGGTTTTACTTTTGCTCAAAACAAATTTTGCCTTACTGAATTTGCTAACACTAACAAAAACTGTTTTACAAAACAATGCTTTTCAGGTTCCAATGCCATGATGCCAAGAAATAAAATTCCTTTCAGAAAATATTGCTTAAGCATTGAACTGCTAACCATAAGGTCAGCAGTTCAAATTCTCCAACCACTCCAAGAAAAAAAAGATGAGGTTGTCCATTCCTGTCAAGATTTACAGTACTAGAAATCCTATATAGGGTTGCTGAGTCAGAATTAACTCTTAAGATTTGGTTTTGATTTTTTTTGGCCAGAATTGTTATCAATATACAATTGTATCTTATCTGTATATCTTATCAAGTCTGACACATCTCCCTATTTGTCTTGTGATCTATAATTGTGTGTGTAAATATATTTGTTGGTATTAAGTATATAGTTTCAAGGAAGTCTATGTTGTTGTTGTTGTTAGGTGCCATCGAGTCGGTACTGACTCATAGTGACCCTATGCACAGCAGAACGTATTACTTGCCCAGTCCTGGGCCAACCTCACAATTGTTGCCAGGCTTGAGCCCACTTATGCTGGTTTTTTAATTTTTAGGACTTTGCCTTTTCCCTCCAGATTACAGTTATGCCTTTTGAACATAAACTTGAATGCTACGATTCCCTCTGATGATTTATGTGTAACCTCAATGAATCCAAAAAAGAAAAGTATGTAAGACTTGCAAGATATAATGAGGATGAATTTGTGATTCATTATAAGTTGACCTACAGATACAGCAGTTACTTCATCTTTTTCATTCAGTTGCTTATGAATTTTCTGTGGTTTATTTTCCCATAAAATTTGTCTATTAATTACAACATCAAAAGCTAGTCTTTGCCTGTAGACAGACAAACGTAAGTCTTTGCCTTAAGGAGAAGTACCTGAATTAATTTTGTAGCCTCACTATAGTAACAAGAGATCATTTGATAAAACTAAAGAATATACATACACACACACACATATATATATATGTATATGTATGTATGACTGCTAACCATGAGATTGACCGTTCAAATCCACCAACTGCTCCAAATCTATACATGGTTGTATTTAGGAATAAATGATAGGAAATCCATTCCTCTTAGATGACACTTTGTATTTCAGTACTTCCCCTTGGTGATTCTCTAGTTAATCATTATGAAAAACAATGCCTACTTAACTTTAGTGAGAATCTACTATGTATAGAATACCAATTTAAGTCTTTTAATAGAATACCAATAGAAAAATTACTTCCAAATACTTCATCGTATCAGAAAATATGCCCCCAAGCAAGATTAACAGCAGGGAAGAGGTATCTTCTAAGTTTAATGACTGTCATCAAGATTTAGGGTCTGTCATAAAAACTTCTTCTGAAGAGCTTTTCTGGGCACAAAGGCCACAGACTCCTACAAGTTTTGCTTCATTAATCTCCTGACCTCAGTCTACCATTTTCTCAGCCACAGTCTGTTAAGAGTACATTTTTGCCTTGTCTGTAGCACTTAACCCTTTATAATCTGGACATGACAGAGAATCTGACTTTGTCTAAATCTCAGCTGATACCCAACTGAACCAGAGGTCTGACCTGAAGACAAGTACCTTCATAGACAGAAGGACTGCTATTCTGCCATTCCTATTTTCCCAATCATCTAGTTGTCTCTGGATTTCAAGGTTAAGAGTATAAAACACAAAGCCCATATTTCAGAGTATTCTTGATCTCACAGGCTCAGTACATGATGTAATGGGGATTTTTCATGAGTTATCCCAACTCCTCCCTGCTAGCTTATAATAAAGTAAAAAGAAAAAGACTGGCATTCCACTTTGAAAAACTGCCAAATACACACGTATGTAGTAAGAGAATTATGTATAGAATGAAAGTTATAATTAAGTCCTAGTTTGGCACTGTAGGATAAGCACTGGACTGCTAATTTAAAGATCGGGGTTCAAACACACCAGCCACTCCTAGGAAACCCTACACAGGGTCACTGTAAGTTGGAACTGACTCAATGGCACTTATCAACACACCAGTACCCCAATATTTGTTATGTTGTTGTTACATACTGTTGAGTCTGTTCTGACTCAGAGCATGTGGCTGGTGAGTTCGAACTGCTGACCTTGTGGTCCAGTGCTTATCCTACAGCATTATACTTGCTTTAAAAGTTAAAAAAAAAAAAAAAAAGTTCCTTAACCAAATGAAGTGCAAATGATTAGCATGCTAAATGCTAAATGGTTGATGAGGTTCAAGTTCACCAGAAGCATATATCCAAAAAACAAAACCTGGCTTTTTTTAAACTTCTAAAAATCAGCCACTGAAAATCTTATGAAGCATATGAGATTGCCACAAGGCAATCTAATAACAACTGGACTACTGGACTATCTATAGTCTACTATAGGATACTAAGAGTTCTCCAACATTGGTGATTTTAAACTAAATTGATTTTAAACTAAAAAAGACAAACATAATGAAGAGATTAAAATGGTGGTTACGAATCGGGCTGCTAACCTCAGGGTCAGCAGTTCAAAACTACCAGCTGTTCTGTGGGAGAAAGATGAGGCTTTCTGCTCCCATAAAGATTTACAGTCTCGGAAACCCTGTACAGGGTCTCTCTATAAGACGGAACCGACTCCACGGTACATAACAACAACAACAAAAAAAAAAAATTCTAAAAGACATTTATAAAGAGATTTTGCAAATGTACACGTTGTTTGATATTTTGTTTACCCTTTAGTCAAAAGTGTGCTATATCCTCAAACAAATAAAACAAGGCAAGATAAATATTTTCAGAATTTAAGCCCTGCTTATATATTTATTATCTCTGTTCAGACATGCAACACACAACCACAACACTAAAACAATTATTAATCAATTGCTCTAAGCCCTGTTGGACAAAAGAATAATGAAAAAAGATGCTACTCGCAAGGAACAAAGGTTTACTCCTGTCAAAAGATATAAGCATATCCAACTAGCTGTACTGCAACAGAGATTGTGCTACGTATTGTACCTGAATGTTAAGTTTTGTCACAACTAAACAATTATGTTATGCCCGTGAAAATATGAAATAAACATGTCAATGGCTAGTGTTCAGTTTCCAAATTAAAAGCATTTGCAGCAATACTGTTTTCTACTTATATTTCTGTTTTACTTAGCAAGAAAATATGTGTCAATTTTAATTAGGTGGTTTAAGAAAAATAGCATTTCTCACAAGAAGACTTTCTAAATTTTATCTAATACTAACTACTTCTTGTCTCAATGATTCCACTTTTTTGACATTTTGATTACTTTAGTCTATGTTTCCTTTACACAGTGTCTGTTGTTGTTGTTGCTAGGTGCTGCTGAGTCGGTTCCAACTCATAGCAACCTAGTATAGGGTTTCCGAGGAGCGGCTGGAGCTTGAATCTCGGAACTTGCAGTTCAAACAGATGTTGCAGTCCAGCTGATAAAATCACAGTGCCACTCCAGGACTTCTATTATCATTTAAAATAGCATTTATTTCTATTATGTATCAATGTATTTCCAAACAAACAAACAAAAATCACATATTCTAGAATTAGATGTAAAACATCTGGAAAGAGTTGTCAGGGACTACCTCATCAAGTCTGGTACCAAATGTCTTATTAAAGTATTTTAGCCATTTTACAGCATAAAAGAAGCTGTGGCTGAAGGTTAACAGGAACTGACTGACCTATTCTTATTTGAATATCTATCTAAATGCTACTTTTTCCATAGCTGGTTTTAACCCACTTTAATTGGTTCAGTTCTTAGAAACATATTATCAATTCTAGTCATTTACATAAGACACAACTAACCTTTTGCTCTACTTGTAACTGATCACATTTTTCTTTCTCATGGTTAAGTTCACTTTCCATTCTTTCAACTTGTTCTCGAAGTTGTGTAGTTTCTTTTTCCAGAACTGCAATTAACTTTAACAGTTCTTCTTTTTCTTTCATTATTTTCTCAATTTTCAACTGTAAAACAAAAAAACAACCAATATTTTGATCCTCAAATACTTCACCACAAATTCCGTTTTCCATTTCAAAAATAATAGTTACAAAATTCAAAGAAAGAACTTCCACGTTGTACATACTTCGTTTCAGTCAATCTCTTCAGGTCCTGGTTGTAAAAATTCACAAATAAAAAAATTCAGCCTACTTTTAACTGGGCATAAAAGAAAACATTATAAAGTATAAAATAAGAAAAATTTATAGTAAGACTGTTTGTAATCATTTTCCAAAACACTAAAAGCAAAACACTAAAAGTTTCATAAATGAATTATTGGACTTTTTAAAATCCCAAGTAATAATAACCAGAGAAGATTTCAAAAGGAAAATTTTAATCTCTTGATGAATATTAATGTATGACTCTATAAAGAACTCATTCATGTGTTACATAATGTATCCATCCTATTCCTATTAAAGTTTGGTTCTTAAAATAAGGTACTAAGGAACAGTTTCTATATACATTTGTTGTTGTTATATGCCGTGGAGTCGGTTCCAACTCATAGCGACCCTGTACAGGGTTTCCAAGGCTGTAAATCTTTACAGGAGCAGAAAGCCTCATCTTTCTCCCATGGAACAGCTGGTAGTTTCGAACTGCTGACCTTGCAGCTAGCAGCTCAATTCATAAGCACTATGCTACCAGTGCTCTTCCCTCTCTATATATATTGATCTCTATTTAAAAACTAACACAAATTATTAAAAAAGCTAAGAAGAGATGCAAAGGAAAGATTTCACAAGGGAGGCATATTCAGTTGGGAAAATGATTTCAGTTGGAAAAACGAAAAGTTTTCCCAAGATTGCATCTCAAATCAGTTCCCGAGGGCCAAGCTGATTAAATTCTAAAATGAATTCTAAAATGACACTGATAAAAGGTAAAATGCTAAATTTCTTTAAATTTTATTTTAGAAGAATGGCCCTTCTACCTGTTCCATCAGTTGTAATAAAAATAGCAGGAATGAGTACTGTCCAAGAGAAAAGCTTCATTTGGCCATTTAATACCTTACCTCTTTTTTTAAAAAAAGTTTTTAGGTAGACTACATTATCAACCTCATTATTAAATATGACATACTCAATAAAGTCAACAGAAAATTATAAGCAAACAAATATACTAATCATAAAGGTTACTATTATTAATTTAGCATTAAATTTTGCTCTAAAGTTTCTGTTGTTACGTTGATAAGTGTTGCTGAGTCACTGCTGACTCACAGCGACCCTGTATAGGGTTTCCAAGAAGTAGCTGGAAGATTTGAACTGCCAACCTAGAGGTTAGCAGCACTTACTCTTACAGTGCCAGTGCTAATCCTACAGCATAATGCAAGGACTCCAAAAATGACAGCCTAAAAATCGAGACACATTTTTGACGGTAACGAAATAGAAACATTATAAGATAACCAATTTTTTCCAGTGACTTTTTTCTCATATACTTGGTCGAGAATTTACTAAAGCTGTGGCATTGCAAGTTAATGTGCTGGACTGAAAGATCAGTTTGTTCAAGTGCACTAGCCACTCCTAGGAAGCCCTGTAAACGGTCACTATGAGTAGGAACTGACTCAGACTCAAATGTAATTATCAGAGTCCTGGTGCAGCACTGTAGACAAGCACTTGACTGCAAGGTCAGTTTGAACCACAAGGTCATCAATTCAAACTCACCAGTTGCTCCTTGGAAACCATATACAGGGTCGCTAGGGGTCAGAACCAATTTGGTGGCACTTAACACACCACCACCAGATAATCTGGTCAACTGCCCATGTTACTCCAAAATATTGTCTACAGCTTTTTGAAACATCTAGGATCCAGTCATGGTTCACACATTGCATTTGGTTATGTGAGAGGGCTTCAAAAACTTCATGGAAAATGGAATTAAAAGAGAATGGACTTCTTCCACAAACTTTTTGAAACCCCTCATATATCATTAATCACTTTTAATGTCAACAATGTTCCAGATACTCTCACATAAGCACTAATTTTTACAGTTTTAGACAGTATCATTAAGATTTTAGTGACTATGGACATACAAAAGAGTCATCAAAATTGTTCAGAAAAAAAAATATCTTACCTCACAAATGTTAACCTAAGAGAGAGGAATTTTAACTTTCTTTGTAAACTACTTTTTATGGGATAGGAAGAACTATGTCCCATTTTATATGAAGAATTACAAGAGACAAGGATGCCAAAATATTTTTTCTGTTGGGAGGCCTTGAAATCAGGGTGGTCTAACAAGTATTCAAACAGCTGCAATAGAAACACTGACTGCATTCTTTTTAAGAGCTGGGCCTGTTTCACCATCTTTGACTAACTTTCAAATACCAAGCTAAAAACCTTGATCACCAAACGGTTGTCACCAAAAATGTTTTAGTCACTCTATAAAAGTTACATTTCTTTAAGATAAGGAAGGAATTTCTGGAAAGGAAACGAAATGATATGGAACAATTCACAAGGGAAAAAAAGTCACTGGTTCCATCTAACCATCTTAGATTGATTGTATTATACAGGGGGCTTTAAAAAGTTTATGGAAAAGTTCCATTATCTTTTAATTCCTAGTTCTTCACAAACTTTTTAAAGCCCCTCCTATCAATAATGTCTTATCTTTTTTTTTACTCTCATTTCATATAGGTAAATAAAAGATGTAAAATATTTACATGAGAAATAATCCATCTGACTATAAAAAAGAAAAGCAATAGTGACCCACCATACTGGTGTGGCACTGTAGGATAAGCACGTGACCATGACCACAAGGTCAGTTTGAATCACAAGGTTGGTGGGGTTCATATTCACCTCAGAAACCCTATACAGGGTCACTATGGGTTGGAACCAACTCAATGGCAGTTAGCAGCAACAATATATACTAATTAACCAAAAATGTATATTGAACCAACTGACAGTAATTTTTCTTATTATTACAACGTAAGATACTACATATTGTTGTTGTTGTTATTGTTATGTGCCGTGGAGTCGGTTCCGACTCATAGCGACCCTGCACAGGGTTTCCGAGGCTGTTAATCTTTACAGGAGCAGAACGCCTCATCTTTCTCCCGCGGAAACGCTGGTAGTTTCGAACTGCTGACCTTACAGTTCACAGCCCGATTCGTAACCACTACGCTACCAGAGCTACTACATATAGTAGGATAAAAAATACTGGGAAATGTTATTTTGAAATGAAAATATAAAGAATGTGCTCTACTTTCTCCAACAATGACTATCACATCTGGTATTATTATTAGACCATTTATAGTAAATTTACATTTGAACAAATGTCACAACCCCATAATATTTAGAGAAAAAATAATAAAGCTTTTTATACCATTTCTTTTTATAATTATGGCTAATCCTAGTTTTTTCATTTAATTGGGTAGAGAAAAGAATCATTCTGAAAAACGCTCAATCTAAATTATGATTGTCATGCTTGGGACAGAATATGCACATGGTGTGGTCAAGTTCATGTTCACATTTGATTACATTTTGTTACTTTAGGCCACTTTCCCAACCAAGCTTCATCAACAGATTAGACTACCAACTAAGAAGAAAAGTAAAGAAAGCTTTAGGTTTCAATTCTTTCTATTGGTACTTACTGCATACCTACTATGCACAAAATAACGACTAGGTCCTGTGGATCGTCCCTGTCACAGTAGAATCAATAACGTAATTGTTATCAAAAGATTTTTAGATTGCTTCAAAAAAGACGTTCTACGTTTATTATTTTAATTAAAAAATCATTTGATTTCTATGGAAACTCTTTCATAACCTGAAAAGTCTTAAATGCCAATCAACATGAACTGTGGTTCTCAAAACTGTCAATTAACGACTACATCTCAGTATCAATACCAACCTCAAGAAGGCCAGCTTTTGTGGTCACCACCAACATGTCAGAATTTCCTTCATCCTCCATAGTAAGCAATTCTTCAACTGGAGAAGCAGCTCTAAATTGGAAAGGTGTACTTGCTCCACGAATTTCACCCTTATGGGTGACATAACAGAATTGATAAAATTCTCCATCATCATTTGGAAGGTAATATCCTAAGAAAAAGACAACAAAAACCAAAATTATTAAGTGGTTAAGTGCTCTGCTACTAATGGAAAGATCAGCAGTTCAAACCAAGCAGTCTCTCCTCGAGAGAAAATACGGCAACAATGTGCATCTAAAAAGAACACAGCCTTGGAAACCCTCTGAGCCGTTCTACTCTGCCCTACAGGGTCACTATGAGTCAGAAGTGATGGGACAACAGGTTTAGATGCTTTGTACTATTGTTTTGTATTATAAAATAAATACTCAATGTAATTTAACAATCCTTGCCATTTCCTATCATCCTTGACACTGTTTTAGGCACTTAGGATATGATATGGCTTTCTGGACATCTTTCATATATAATTATAACTATACTCTTGCCTTCTTTCCACAACATATTTTCAATTTTTTCTTCTCTTATGCTTATACTCTAGAACTATCTTTTTCCTTGTATCCTTACTAGGGCAAAACAAATTCATTTGTAAAAGGTAAGTATATAGTTTTCAAGAGGAAAGATGCTGGGGCAAGGGAAAAATAAATACAAGACTCTAGGTAGCTGATGTTTGGGGAAAGGGAAATATATGTCATTTAACATCTTCCCTACAATGTGGCACTCATTAACATACAAGAATGAACTCACAAAGGGACTATGATGTGCATGTGATATGTGTGAAGGCAGAACAAAAGATGAGGTTCACTGGTGTAAAGGAACTGAGCTTTGAAACCATACAGATCTAAGCTGGAATTCCAGCTCTAGCACTGTTATTGACATAACCTCCCTGAGCCCCTGTTTTTACCTGTAGAAGTGAAATGAAGCCACTTATTTATACCACCCAGACTTCTTGTTGTTAAGTACCATCAAGGAGCAGCTGGTGAGTTCAATCCACCAACTTTGCGGTCTAGTGTTTATTCTACAGAGCCACACCAGGACTCATGCTACCTGACAAGCAATATATGGCTAGTATGTGTTCCCTTTTTTGATTACTTTTCAACTGCTACTTTCTTTTTTCATTTTTGCTTGAGTATCCTCACTTAAAATTGATCTTCACATCCTCTCAAAATGGACCCCATGATATTTTTTGCATAAAAGGGAAAAAAATTGCAGCGTATACTCTGCTTTGCCATTAGTTATGTACACGCTTTATATCATGTCTAAAAAACACTAACGGCAGCTATATAAATCCTAGACTCCCCCAGTATCTTTCAAAAAGGAAGCATTTCATGAGTGAACATATAAAAATGAATATACTTACGTTGGATATTAGCATGTACCTAGAAACTAAGCCTGAAATTATTAATCACTGGATTTTATTTCTTTAAAAAACAATAGTGGTTTTTCCTTGGAAACAGGAGAGAAGGTCAGGAAAAATGTAAGATAAACCTGGAACATCTTGTGATACTTGAAAGTAAGGAAGAATTTCTTTAAAGAAGATCCTGAAGGAGTTCCCAATGGCTAAAGCTAGAACAATAAAAAAAGATTGCATTGCATTTTCCCACGTAGAATAAATACGCAAACGGGAGAAGGGAAAAACTCTTCATTAACAGGATAATTCCAACTACTAAACGGCTAAGAAATGAGAATAGCAACTCATCCTTGGACAAGCATACAGTAACTACTGCAATCAAGACTCAATGATGGATTATAAAATTGGTGGGTGTTTAAGTTTAAGAAACAAGGTAATTACATACTCTCAAAGTAGCTTCTCCATAAAATTAGTTAATTACAAAGGGAAATACATTAAATTTACACTGGCAAAACCCAGCAGACACCACCTTAACAAAGTGATCAAGGTTAATAATGAGAAGAAATGGACATCCTTTACCCTTGATTCAATGCATTGAGAAGGGCATAACTCCTATTCTATAGCATTCTTCCCAAAAATGTTTTAACCTCCATCTAATTCTGATAACACCTTATAGACCCCAAAATAAAGGACACATTTGTTGTTGTTGTTAAGTGCTGTCGAGTCGATTCCGACCCATAGAGACCCTATACAGGGTTTCCGAGGAGCAGCTGGTGAGCTTGAACCACGACCCTGCAGTTCAACCGGCTTTGCAGTCTGGCACATTAACCCACAGCGCCACAAAAGGACACATTACCAGAAAAAAATTGAGTGATAACCAAATGGAATTTAATTTCTAGACTGGATTCAAGAACAGAAAAATTATTAGTGAAAAACCAGGTAACATTTACATAATGTTTATACTTATTCAATACTGCTATTATCAATATTAAATTTTTTCTTTGCAAATGTATTATGGTTATGCAAGATGGTAACATTAAGGAAAGCTAGGTGGAGAGTATACAGAAATTCTTTTTTTTACAACTTTTTTTTGCAACAACAACTATTTTTGCAACTTTTCTTTACATCTAAAATTATTCCAAAGTGAAAAGCTAAAAATAAAGTACTATACAGATTCATATGGCAGTGACTTTTTAAAGGCTCTAAAAATTACCACTCTCCAAATATCTACTACTGTTTAATACATAACAAATTACTTCACAAATGATAGCATTAAGATAACGCATTTTTTAATGGCATGCAGACATCTAATTTTAAGTTCTGAAGTTTTCAGGTTTACCTTGAAATGCTAGAACACAATTGACTGTTGATCCTTCAACATAATGTTCAGGCATAGGGGACCATAAAAATGTGTAATAATCACGAGCAGTACTCCAGCCAACCTAAAGGGAAATAACAGAGAATAGGGAGATTGTGAGTAAATAGTTCAATAAAGTTCTATTAGACTGCTATCTTATAACATTGTATTTTACTGCATCCTAAAGTTAAAACATGCACTTAATATGTTTACACATCATGAGTATTTTAAACAAGCATGTCAAATTTCATCATGATTTTTTATTAAGCTATAACCTAATGCTATAAAAATCTACATAAACAACAGCAGTTTCTATCTTGAATTAAAACATAATTTGAGAGCAATTTTTTGTTATCTGTATTTTACAACAAAAAAAATCTAAATGCAATTTGATAACCAATTTCTCAAAGATTAAAATGCATATGGTCAAATATAAAACTTGATTTCATTTATAACTCAAATTTAACCTTGTTTTTGTTTTTTATTAAACTATTCCCTTCCCCTCACATCCACTAACCAAACTCCACTAATCTAATATTTAGCAAGTCTCACCTGAAGTCAATTTGTAAATGTTGTGAAAAAGACCTTTAGCATTTAGTACCAAAATGCTTATATGAACTTATGCCCCCACCTACTGCTAAAACTTTTTCAATTTACAGCATAAATATATACATTACATATTCCTTGATCTGCACTTCCCAGGTGGACTATACTGTATTAAATAATGAATATAAGAGATGCTTAAAATAGGCACAAGGTATCCACTTGCCAATAACATTACAAGAAATGATTCATCAGTCACAGGTTTAGTTTATATACATGTTCTATGATTCTGACAGATTTAGTACTGTTGTTGTTGTTAAGTGCCATCGTGTCGATTCCAACCCATAGTGACCCTGTATAGGGTTTCTGAGGAGCAGCTGGTGAGCTTGAACCACCAACCTTGCAGTTCAAACGGCTTTGCAGTCTGGCACATTAATCAAACCAAATAGCAAAAGAACCTGAGTGGGTTTTAGTCCCTTATGGTTGTTGCTAAGTGCCATTGAGTCAGTTCTAACTTACAATGTCCACGTGTAGGGTTTTCAATGCTTTAAATCTTAGCGAGAACAGAAAGCCTTATCTTTGGACTCTAATTATGGGTTGTGATATGCAGTCCAATGCTTATCAAGTGCTGTCGAGTCAGTTCTGACCCACAGAGACCCTGTATAGGGTTTCCAAGGATCAGCTGGTGAACTTTTACTGCTGACCTTGCAGTCCAGTACATTAACCCACAGCGTCACACCAGAACTGCAGTTCAAATTCATCAGCTGCTCCTTGGAAAACCTATACAAGCAGGGGGTGGGGAATGTCCAATCTGTGAAGAAATCACTCGGTCTGTCTCAGCCAAGGCAACCAAACTTCCAGCCATCACATTGTTGTTAAGTGCCCTCAAGCTGATTCTGACTCACAGTGACCCTGTATAGGCTGGAATGTTTGAAGTGTCAACTTCGTTGTTCAAACTGACCTTGAAAGCTAAGTGCTTCTCCTATGGTGCCACACCAGGACACTGTTGTTGTTAACAGTATTTTGCAACCCTGTGTAAGGTTTCCGAGGAGTGGCTGGTGAGTTTGAACCGTCGTCGACCTCGCGGATCAAACTGATTTTGCAATCCAGCACGTTATAACTAACCCACAGTACCATACACCAGGACAGTAAGGGTGAGTTCATTAAATACAGCAGGTTAATCTTTAAATTGATAATTTTGTATGATCCATTAATGTTGTTATAAATTCTGGCAGAAAAAAGGTTCCCTACCCCTGCTGTAGGGTCAATATGAGTCGGAACCAACTCTATAGCACTTAACAACAGAGGGTTTCAGCAACATGAGGTTTCAGAGGTGAATTTGAACCATCAACCTTATGTTAGCAGCTCAGTGCTTATCCTACAGCACCACACCAGGACTGCTGGTCAACTTACTTTTATCTTTTCTGTATTCTTCCAAATTTTATAAAACTGTGATGATAAATGAGCTCTGGCAGAGTAGTGGTTACAAGCCATAGTGACCCTGTATAGGCTTTCCGAGCACCAGCTGGTGAACTTAAACCGTCAACCTTGCAGATCAAACTGACTTTGAATTTGCAAAGTCAGGCTGTTAACCTCAAGGTCAGCAGTTCAAAACTAGGAGCTGTTCCATGGGAGAATGATGGGGCTTTCTGCTCCTGTAAAGATGTGGCACTGTGGGTTAATGAGCCATACTGCTAGGCCGTTTGAACTGCAAGATCGGCGGTTCAAGCTCACCAGCCGCTCCTCGGAAACCCTATACAGGGTTGCTATAGGTCAGAACCGACTCTATGGCACGTAGCAACAACAATGAAGATTTATAGCCTCGGAAACCCTATACAGGGTTGCTTAGAGTCAGAACCAACTCCACAGCACACCACCACAATATAAGCACTGGACTGCGAACCACAAGATCAACAATTTAACTTCACCAAGTGTTCCTCAGAAACCCTGTAGAGGGTCGCTATTATTTAAAATTAACTCAACAGCACTTAATGACAACATGATATTTACAACTAAAGAACACTTTTTATTAAATAGAGTGAAAAAAAAGAACTTTGTTGCAAAAGAGACCAAGGCAGAAAAACAAAAGCAGAAGGAAGAGAAATAAGGAAAGGAAAAACAATAAAATGGGAAACAAAAGCTTGTAACAAGATGCTGTTATTATTAAGTGCCGTGGAATAGGTTCCAACTCATAGTGACCCTGTATAGGGTTTCCAAGGAGCAAATGGTTGGTCTGAACCACAGACTTTACGGTTCAAACTGGCCTTATGGTCTAGTGGTCTAGTGCTTTATCTTCACCACACCAGGACTCCTGTTAAAAAATACTCAATTATAATACCATTGGTTAGGGTTTCTCCCCACACCAGGAAACTTACTTTATCTAGTGGACAGCATGATGTAATCTAGTACACATATGTATTAGAATGTTTGTCTAGTCCAAAATAGGCCACTAATTAGCTACATGTCTTCAGACATATTACATCCCCAGGGTGCAATCCTAATTTTCTCATCTACGATATTATCTCTGACAGTGGAAATTCAAAGATTCCTTTCTAAAGTTTAAAAAAAAAGTTTCATGTTTCGATGGGGGCAGTTCTACCCTGTCCTGTAGGTTTGCTGAGTCAGAATGGATTCAGTGGTAGTGGGGATGGTTGGTATATTACATGACAATAATGCTTGGATGCTTACACAACTATGACCAAATCAAATTTATAAATAGAAAACAAACAACAACAAAAAAGACTCAAATATAATGTGACACAGTATTTTGATGCAAATAATGTTAGAATTAGAAATATAGCATTAGGTGCAATTCTAAATCTTTTACTGTATTTTTATAACAATTCTATCACTGCAGAAAATGCATGTTGTTAACTTCTCTGGGCTTCAGACCCCTCATCTGTAAAATTCAATCAACAACATTCATATGAAAGACCTTTATAAAGTACTGATCAACAAATGTTTGTTTATAATTAAAACTAATTAATATTGGGATGGTGGCTGTATGCAGTCAAGTCAGTTCTGATTCACAGAAATACTACTGTTGTTGTTAATAAGTGCTGTCAAGTTGGTTCTGACACATAGAGACCACCCTGTATAGGGTTTCCGAGGAGAAGTTGGTGAGCCTGAACTGCCGACCTTGTAGTTCAAACAGCTTTGCAGTCTGGCGCATTAACCCATAGCGCCACACCAGGACTCCATATATGGCACAGTATTAAGGAAGCAGATTCCCCATGGAGCTGACCTCTGGGGTTAGCAGTCAAGCACTTAACCATTGAACCATCAGAGCTCCTTATCAATACCAAGAGAATGGGGAGTAAACCCTAGAAGGAAAACATGTAAAATCTCTAGCACACTTTATATCACTTGTTCTGGCTTCTTCACACATTTCCCTTCCCATCTTAAATTCAATGGTCACTTAATCCCTTCAACAACACACTCAAAACCACCCTAGTAACCTTTGTCTTCTTGCAGCCCTTCTATCCTCTATCCACTTCTATAATTCCAAAGCTGAATGATAACCACTTATGGCATTTTTCACTCACAATTCTGGGTGCTGAACTTCTAGAGAAAATCCTAAAACTGCTCAGCAATCTCCTATTTAACCTATACAAATTCCCTATGACCTTCCTCCAAAGTGGTAGGTAGTGTCAAACGTTCTCCATACTTAAGCCTCCCTAACTCTTAGCATATGGCCTTGCCTCCTCCTCCTTCACAAAATATACACAAGTCATGTCATGAGTTCTGGCCCCAATTCAAAATCAGTTGACAATGTCTATGAATTCTATTTATGGATTATTACCCATAATTGATTCCTTCTGTCCTTTAAGACTTAATTTTCTCACCAGAAAATTAACATAATCTTAACTAGTCACTTTAACTCCAGTCCAGTACTTATCCTACATCATCGCACCAAGGTCAGTGGTTCAAACTCACCAGCTGCTCCTCAGAAACTCTATAGAGGGTAACTATGAGCTGGAACTGACTCAGTGACACTTAACAACAACCTAAAAATTATTCCTGTAGTGAATATTCAAAACAATCTACAATGCAATCAAAATCAACCTTTACAGAGAAAGGCTGTGTGGTGGGGGGCAAGAAGCTGGCTTATTTTGTAAAATGTGCCCTTTAGTTCTTTAAACAATTATAGATTCCTGTGTGTTTTTGTGTACATCAAAAAAAAACACCACACTGGAATAGGGGTAATTAACATTAACCAATGTTGCATGGAAGGGATTCTAATGGCAAAGAAACAGAACACTATTGGTTGAGTGCAAAGCCAATGTATAAACTATCACTCAAGTCACAATAAAAGCTTTAAAAATAAACAAATAGATGTCTAACTTGAAAAAAAATAAATAAATAACCTGCTGTTTTTTCCGGTGTATTTAAAGTCAGTGTTATTTTAAGGGAACTATCTGCTTACCAACTGCTCCTCGGAAACCCTATACAAGGTCGCTATGGGTCGGTATCAACTCAACGACACTTCACAACAACAACAACAACAACATCTGCTTTGCTTATCTGCTTACCAAAAATAAA